CAAAGCCCCAGTAGATAGTTGTATGTCATAGCTGCACATCCTTCTAGTTGCTGTATGTGGGACTCGGCCTCAGGATGGACGGAGAAGTGGTGCCTCGGTGCGCTCCGGGGATTCGAACCCCAGCCACCAGCATCAGAGCGCGTGCACTTAACCACCAAGCCACGGGGCCGGCCCTCATATATTTTATAACATAATTTTTTGCTATTTTATTATCCTAGGAGTTATTTCATCATTATTCATTAATTATTCCCAACTATGCTAAAAAAAGACTAAAATAATAAGACAACAGAAGAATGATGGACTTGCCTAGAATGGTGGTTCTCAAATAAAGGTGGTTTTGTCCCCCAGAGAACATGTGACAATGTGTGGAGATATTTTTCATTGTCATAACTAAGGAGTGTGCTACTGGCATTTAGTAGGTAGATGCCAGGGGTGCTGCTAAACATCTCACAGTTCACAGGTCTGGCCCAATAACAAAGAATTATGTGGCCCCAAATGTCAATAGTGCCAAAGATGAGAAACTATTTTTCATTTTAAGCCCATCATGGCAAAAAGAAGAAAATTAACAAAAAAGATCTTTCAGAATTATGAGATGAATCAACATAATGCAACTCAGAGACAGACAGCAGCATACTAGCTCCTAGTTTTGATTGTGAAATTGAAAATCTAAGACTCTGAGTCTTCAGAGGACAATATTCTAGATGAATTTTCTGAAACTCCAGCATTGATGAGTGAACAATATATTTCGAAGGACAAAAGGAACTATGGTATTCTCATCCGGTTAGTCATTCGACATGAAGACTTCACTGTGAATCTTCTACAACAAGAACCTAAACCATCTCGTTTTGCTAAAAGGACATGTGATAGTATTCTTTAATCTTTTATGATATTTGTGCAACGAAATTTATTTGAAATGGTTCACATGTGGACAGATCCTAAAAGCAGGTGTGCAAACTAAAGTGGTTGGAACAAATGACGTAAAAATTAAAAAATGCATCAAATTAATCATTCTAATTAGTGTTTATAAATCTAAAAGTGCAAATGTTTTGTAATTGTGAAGCAAAGACGACTGACTTCTCTTCAACAAAGTTATATGCCATCAAAGTTCACAAAAATATTGTGTTTTGAATATGCAAATGTAAGAAGTACCAGTAGTAACCTAGAACCTGTCAGAGATGTATCTGCCATCATTTAGAGCTAAGACCAATCTAATTTTAAGAAAATTAAATATATAAGTGTTATTACAAAATAAGATGAATCATTTGTTGTTTAGCACAAATACCTACTTAATCCTTAAGTAATGAGCTACTTGGTACAGAAAAATGTGATTAATCAAATATTTTAAGCACATTTATAGTGCTTAAAGACTTTTCCTTTTATTAAATGGAAGAAAGTCATTCATTAAAATTAAAGTTTCTTTAACTTAATAAGACCTCAGAATACTAAGAATGTACTATTAGTTTCACTGAACACTTTGAAATGAAACCTAAAAGGAATATGAGGAAAAACCTTCAAAGTTGCTACAACCTCTGTACTTTCAGAACAGAACTGATTTCAAGAAAAATTTTTGCAAGGAATTTCTGAGTGATGAATAAATGATACTCAATATTTTGAAAAACAGAATAATAGCTTTAGTTTGATACTTCAATTCATAGTCTAAGGTTTTTTAAAAAAAGAATATTGAAACCAAGTTAGAAAAATGCTTATACCTTAACAGACTGTAAGATGCTGGTCCCTTGCTCAGTTTCAATTTTACAATTATCACACTCAATATTTTGGACTTTTACACAGCCAGATCCTGATGACTTGATATTCAAGTCTAGAAATGATAAAAGAACAAACAAGTTAGTACTATTGTTAATGGACTCCAAAGCGTTTTAGTACCCCCTAGAAATCCAGCTCCTTAGTTACGCCCATAACATTACTAAACCCTGGAGAGAGCATACATGTCAGCAGTCTCTTTCTAAAGGTAAGGGGTCTCCACTATGGCAACAGGACCAAATTTACTGCCCTTTTCTGCCTTTTATTAGAAATAAAGCAGTTATTTCTTTTCTTGTGTTTTTTTTTTTTGCTGAGGAAGATTTGCCCTGAGCTAACATCTGTGTCAATCTTCCTCTATTTTGTATGTGGTTGCTGCCACTGCATGGCCGCTGATGTGTGGTATTGGTTCACGCCTGGGAAGAACTGAACCCAGGCCGCCAAAGCAGAGCACACCAAACTCAACCACTAGGCCATGGGGCCAGCCCCCTAAAGCAGTTATTTCTGTTAGCTTATATCATTTAAAGAGAGAAGGCAATATAGGAGGGAAGTAAAGGAGGCCAGAGACTCCAATTCTTATAGGCACTGCTGGGAAAGATCATAGAAGCTTCTTCCCCACTGAGAAAACACACATACACACACGCGCGCGCACACACACACGCTTGACTAAGAATACAGCAAGTTAACAAGTCATTATGGTAAACTGGATAAGTCAGTTAGCCTATTCTGTCTTATATTCATGAAGATTTAAAGATGTGTTCCCAAACCTCCCCCAAATTAAAAGCATATTGCAGGAGTAGCATGGATCAGTATATATGATCATAATTTAGGTTTTTAAATTTTATCTCTAACCTTTCATATCTAAAAAATGAGGATATTGCTATGTAGCTATATCACAAGGTATCTGAAGTAATAATAAATGGGAACAACTTTTGGAAAAATCTAGTACTAAAAAGTATTAAAACCACAAGGTTGTGAATAAATAAGTGATATCTGAAGAAAGTTTAGAAAATAAGGAGTAACAGGTGCCATCCTTGGCTGTCAATTTAAGATGTAACCTTAGGTGTCTCTATATAAAAATTAAAAAAAAAAACACTGATATTTAATACCTAATTTGAATAAATATTGATGATTTCCCTTAAACCAGACTAGAGAGGTAAACACTGTGTTGCCCCAAACACAAACTACTGGGGCCTAACACCACAATTTCAATAGTTATGGCATAAAAATCAGTTTCTACAGTTGTATATATGGCAGTCTCTACTTTATAAAGGTTTAAAATAACAGCAATATATTGGTTGGAATTAATCTAAAATATATTTAAAAAGACAATACCCCATATTTAAATAGATGCAAATGTAACTGCAAAATTTTTACCCAGTTAAGCAGTGTTACAACATAAGGCTTGATCTAAGGCAGCGCTGACAGACAGAGAAACAGATTCTAAATATACTCTACCCTCACTAGGTAGGTAGAGAAGTTAAGGCTAGACACTGAGCAATAGTAATGCTACTCACTCAATTCACTGAAACAGGTAATAGACAAACTGGAGGAACAAGTAAGTATGAAGAGAACTGAATTATGTGGATTTGAGGGGCCCATGGAATAGACTTATGGAAACAGTAAAATTGGAACTGGGATTCTGGCTCTAAAAAGAGGAATCAACAAATAATGAGGTTTGGGATCACCAGCACAGGTAGTTCCATTTTTATCTGTGCTGCCATAAAATTTTGCTTATCTCTATTTCAATACTCAGTCTATTTTGTATTACAATAACTTACTGGCAAATCTTCCTCCCCACACCAGACTGCTACATTTTGAAGTTAAGGTCTCTTATTTATCTAGGCTAGTTAAAAGAAGCAATAAAGCACTGTGGTTGAACAGACTCCACTGAGTTCAAATCCCAGCTGCACCACTATATATCTGAGAGGGAATAGGCACATTTCTTGATCTCCACTAGAACATAAGTTTCATGAAGGCATGGGTTTTTTCTGTTAGTTCACCCACAACAAATACTCGCTTTATGAAACCTGCTGTATCTCAATTTCCTTATCTGATTTGGTGACAATAACAGTATCTATAGTGCAATCGTAAGGATTAGAAAAGATTATCTATCAGTGTTAGCAGCTATTATGATCATCATCAATATCCTCCTTCAGTCCCAGGAAAGCGGGGAACCTGGGGAGACTTTCCTAGAAAAGTGTCGTGTATACAGTGGCTCGCATTTGAGAAATAACAGGGAACCCAAACACCTAGGAAACATATCTTGCAGGCACTATCAATTGGAGTTTCCCAGGCAGCCCTACTATGTGTTTCTCTTCAAAGCCTGCTCCTCACCGAAAATTTACTTAGGCCAAAAATAATAGAGATGTATCAGTAAGCAGCTGGGTGCCCTATTTGAAGCTTGGTCCAGGTTAGATATGAACATCCTCTGGACAGGGCTGTTTGGGGACAGACCCCCAAGGCTCTGAGCAAGGGGAAATGTGGATGGACTGCCACACCACTGAATGGTTTATCAAGAAACTTGAACTCTGAAAACGAAACCACTTTGCTATTGACAGAAGGTAACAGAAATAGGAACAGAGTGCCAAAGGAGAACGTAAGGGGCTCCACAAATGTTATCTGACTTAGATTATTCCAAATCATCTTTCCATTCGATTTACAAAATTTCTGTAATTGGGAACCTAATTCTACCTACTATTCGAAAACTCAAAGTAGAACAGAAAAAAAGAGGCAGCTTCCGAAGGGGACAACTATAAGTTAAGTTAGAAAGTCACATGCAATTAAAAGTGCACGTCGGCCTAAGGGAAGAAGCTCGCTGGGGGTGCCCCGGACCCACACCCGGTGTCACTTCACTTCACTTGCCGAACTTCAGGGGTGCGTGCACCTCCACGGCAGCCCGGGGGTCGATGGACTCGGACACGACGGCCACCTCCCTCAGCGCCTCGTCGTACGTCACCCGCAGGCCGGCCGGGCCCCGCGCCGCACCCTCCTCCGCCCCGCTCACCGCCACCAGCACGCGGTCGCCGTCCGGGTAGGCGAGGGGGTCGAGGGGCCTCACGGCCAGGTGGCATGGGAGCCGCGCCCGCAGGCGCCCGAACGGGCTCACCAGCAGCGCCCACTCCGTCAGAGTCCCCCGCGCGGGTCCCGGCGGGGGGACCTCGGGCTCGGACCCAGCGGAGCCATACGACCCGGCCTGACGAGCCCGACACGCCCAGCGTCCGACGGCCCACGCTCGGAGCTGACCCAGCCGGAGGCAGCCGAGCCTCCCGGCCGAGCTGGGGGCGAACATGGCGCGCCCCTCTCGCGTTCCCTCAGATCACCTCAGCCACAAGTCAGTCCCGCCACGGCCAGTCGACTTGGCCACTGAGCCCACTCAAGTCAAAAAGGAGACATTTGCGAGGATTTGCTGAAGCAAAAGCAAGACTGCTTACTACGTCCGGCAATTTAAACCTCAGCCTCACACGCCTGAGCGGCAAGTGAGAATTTCAAATATCTTAGTATTCACCTTGACCAGACCTCGTCGCCTAGCCCCGCCCCTTCGCCAAGGCCGACGGGATAGGTAGTTCTTAGAGGGCCAGTCATCGAAGGGCTCTGGGCAGCGTAGAAACTACATATCCCAGGAGGCAATGCGCATGGTAGAATCGTAGTAACAGCGAGTGTTAGACTGGGCTCAGAAGGCGCGCGCTCTTTGCCTCAAGTCCCTTAGCCATTGGAGAGAAGGAAAAGAAAAATCTACTTGGGAATCCAACTGACCAATGGAAAGCGTGGAAGGGGCAAGGTGGGCAAGGCTATGTGGTTTCCTTGGATACCGAGGACGCGACTTCTTTGGAGAGGGTGAAGCTTTGAAGAGCGGCTCAAGAGGTCGTAACCCACAGAGAAAAATAGAAGCCTAAATAAGGATCAGGACCAAGGGAAGGGGTAAGAAACTGCTTTTAAAGGTGGGAACTAGATGCAAAGTAGAAGTACCTTCAGTGGATGGTTAGATCCAAACTTCGCTAAACTAGTGCGGAGTACCCTGGGATGGAGAATCCCTTGGTAACAGGATAAAGAGCCGGATTGGCGCTTTTCCAGGGAACTCCCTCTTTCCCTATAGCAGATAAAGGAATAGGGTTGAGTCCTGCGAAGTGATCTTAGGCCAGTCATTGGACGTCTCTGGGTTTTAATTGCTCGCTCTGAAAATGAGGTCAATAATACCTTCTTTGTCTTGCCTCAAAGGTTTTTGTAAGGATCAAATGAGATAATAGATGTGAACGCGGTGTACAGGCTACAAATTTGCAATGTAAATTACTGTATGTTTATTTTAACTATAGCATTGACTGTAAGCTACCAAGAAAAATCTGAGAGATCAGGATGTGTTGACAATAGCACTGATCGTTTTAACTACAAGTGATCCTCAGTTTTAGGGCTAAAATAACAAAAAAGAGAGAGTCAGCATCGTGCAGTGGGAAGATCATGCAACTGGTTATTTTCCTGGCTGTGCCACTGGTTCATCTGGGTCACCTGGACCTGTTTCTTCAGCTTTAAGATCAGGAAGGATTGTACTAAATGACTCTATAAGGTCTCTTTTACCTTTTATTATTCTGTGGGCAATTTAAAAATGAAAAAAAACCAAAAAACAGATTGGGGACCCGCCAGGTGGCATAGCCGTTAAGTTCGCGCGTTCTGCTTGGGCAGACCGTGGTTCGCTGGTTTGGATCCTGCGTGGACCTACTCACCGCTCATCAAGCCATGCTGAGGTGGCGTCCCATACAGAAGAGCTACAGCTCTACAACTATGATACACAACTATGTACTGGGGCTTTGGGGAGAAAAAAGAAAAAAGAGGAAGATTGGCAACAGATGTTAGGGCAGGGCCAATCTTCTAGGGAAACAAAAAGATTTATTCCCCCTTTCCTGCTTATCTCTCCCTTTCTGTGCCCCTTCCTCCTCCTACAAATCATTCCCTAAGTTCTTTAGCAAAGACACACTACAAACAATGACTCTTAATAAAATGCAAGTGCTGAAACTGAATGCCTTAAAAAATTGAACCTTTGGCGAAGTGCAATAACCAGAATTCCTGGGAGCTCTAGTGATAGAGAGATGAGCTCAAGTCCTAATGAGCTGGGCTAAAGCTCATGGGCCCAAGTCACAGAGCTCTTTGCTAGCCATTACCTTTTTAAAAATTCAGTGTTTTCTTTGGTTATCCTTTCCTGCTTTCTGTCCTAGCGGGTCCTCCCTCCTTCTTCCTCCTAGTGAAGGCTCGTGATAGGTGCTAGCTTTCAGGTGCACCAAGTTTCCACTGAAGACTAGTTCTGTCCTTGGCTTTGTGTTTCATTTGGTCATAATTATCCAGACTGATCTTCAAATTGTCTTTTTAATGAAAACCCACAGGAATAACTTTGAAAAAGACGTTGGTTTAGACAAGTTGAGAGTGCACTCAAATTTTTTGTACATGTTCCAAATATTTTTGGATTAAATAGCAGTCCCTAATAGATAATTTTGTTTCAATGGTAATTTTTCCTTTTCTGAGGCAAACCAAGTTAATGGAATTGACAACTAAACCATAATTGTCTATGTGGCAAAATCACTGTTTTACTATTTTCAGGCAAACAAAACTAAAGAAAATTGACATAAAAATTACTTTTCTGATTATAGGAGTTGGAAAATAGAGAAAATTATTGATATTAAGATTAGTATAAAATATTAAAAAGTTATTGATACTTTAAAAAGTCTAATGACTTATATATCAAATCTGTCCACATGTCAATAATGACTAATAAAAATACTACCTTCCATCTGTATGACCTTATAGTTTTCAAAGCATATTCACATGTATCATCTCACGGTATCCTCACAGAACACTCTGTGTTTAGCAGGGCAAGTATTATTATCCTCACATCCTCTTCCACTCTACTGAAAGGTCCTTCTATCTTCCTGACACTTTTGAAGAAAAAAAATTATTCATCAAACTAGTGGAGAATCATGTATAACTTTTCCCCCTTATTTAGAGTTGACTTGTAAGGTATTTTTACATCTTCAGTTTTAAAAAAGACTTTCCTGTGGTCATGAACATATACTGCTGGTGGGAGTGTAAGTTATTACAAACTTTCCAGAGTTTGGTTCAGGAATATGCATAAAGCACCTTAACAATATGTGTATCCATGACCTGGAAATTGTACTTTTTGGAATTTAATGTAAGCATAAAATTAAGGATGTTCAAAAAAACTTATGTTCAAGGAATTTTGTTTTACAGGGTTATTTATGATAGTAAAGAATTGAAACTACTTAAATATCCAAAAATAGGAAGATGTTACATAAATTAGTATATATCTGGAATATGCACCAGTTTAAAAATTATATTTTGAAGATTATTCAGTGATATGGAAAATCCTCCATAATATAATTGTAAAGGAAAAACCTACAATTTTCCTTGTGTATGTGTCTCCTGTACTCTCACACTACTACCACACTCACAACACGTCACTTCTGACACTTCTGGTCACCAAATGTGTAGGGTTTTTCCCTACAACAAGCAATTCTCTATGACACCATCTGAGTGTCCTACAATTTACTCAATTCTGATGCTCTCTGACTGACTCTCTGACCTACCTATAGTCAGTCAGGTGGTATCTACCTGGAGATAGGGTCAGATCTCACAGGTTAAGGGCTCAGTCCCACAAGGCTGCTCCCACCCACATCAAATGCCAACCACAAGTAGTAAGTCCCTAAGTTACCCACAACTTCTGTCCATCTGGCTAGAAATTGGAGGTTCCCTGCTCCCCTCCTAAGCTTCAATTAATTTGCTAGAGTGGCTCACAGAACTCAGGGAAACATTTCCTTACATTTACCAGTTTATTAAAGGATATGGTAAAGGATACAGATAAACAGCCAGATGAAGAAATACATAAGGTGAGGTCTAGGAGGGTCCTGAGAGCAGGAGCTTCTGTCCCCGTGGAGTTGGGGTGCGTCACCCTCCCAGTATGGGTATGTTCACGAACCTGGAAGCTCTCAGAACCCCACACTCTTGGGATTTTTATGGAGGCTTCATCATGTAGGCATGATCAGTCAGTAAGTCCATTTTCAGCCCTTCTCTCTTCTCAAGAGAATAGGGGGCAGGGCTGAAAATGCCAAGCTTCTAATTATGACTTGTTCTTTCCGGTGACCAGCCCTTGTCCAGGAGCCCACCCAAAGTCGCCTCAATAGAGTAAAAGACACTCCTATCACCCAGGAAATTACAATGGTTTCAGGAGCCCTGTGTCAGGAACCAGGGACAGAGACCAACATATATTCCTTCTATTATCTCACAGTAATATTAAGGGAAAAGAGTAGAGTACCAACTTGTATGTATAGTATGATCCCAATTCTGTGATAATAATAATATTAATTCTAACATAAAATTATATTTAAAAATATATTCCATAGAAACAATTCCAGAGAGAAATACACAACTTGATAACAATGGTTCTCTGTAAGTAATGAGATAATAAAGTATTTCTTCATATTTTTGTGTGTTTTCAATAGTGAACATATATTACGTTTATAATTTAAAAGTGTTTCTTAGCATATATTGTTTCCTAAGACTGACTCAAATAGTGAAATAGGTGGAGGATTTCTTACTATCTAAAGGTAAATACTCATGAATATTTTACTTTATTTAGTAATTTATATTCAATAAATGGACAGCAGAGGGCATGAGAGAGTCTTCAGAAAAATGTAACCTAAACAAAGGATTCTGGAATTCACCTTAAGTGAAGGAAGCCCTAGGAATTTGCTAATGTTCTTAATTATAAACTTTTAAAATAAATATGTCTTATGATTTCTATTCTTATGAAATCTTAATAAATGCAATAATCTAAACTAATAACTAACAGTACTAAGAAGTATTTAAAGAATACCTAGGTAGTCCCATTTGAACTCTACATGTTATTTGTTTCCAGGTAGGTGATATACAGGAAAAAGTTTGTTATTTAATGTAGTCAAATTTACTCACTTAAAACATCTCGAGAAGTTGCCTAGGTTACAAATAGGTAGGGGAATGTGAGTACTTTGTACATTAAAACAATATGTATTTGTGTGTGTGTGTGTGTGTGTGTGTCTAAGATAATATTTATTACAAGCAGAGAATTTATTTGTAACAGAAAAACTTGAAAAGCTTACTTTAGATTAGAGTTCTTGTATGTGCTAATGCTTTATTCCATTTCCACAAGGTAACAATAGTGTTTCAACCAATCACACAGTAGTAGCATTGATATATACTTTGAGTAGAAATTCTGGTTACATTTTATATATTTTGAGGCTATGCTGTAAGTTA